AGAATGGAAGTATTACACCATCTTCCCCAGGGCAAGCTCAGGACTGCTTCCAATTCTGCCACTTATCAATCAACCCAAGAGGAAGGAGCACACTGCCTATGCAGTCATCTTCACATTCTATTTGAACACTAAACAGATTTAGTGACATTTCCCAGCCTCAAAGCAGAAAAAGAATCTGCTTCATTACTTTCAAAGCATGTAGAAGAACACAGCTTTGAATTCTGCTTTGCAACATGGTGCCTTGTGTCTACAAGTTGTTACCAGTGTCTGAGTTTAAGCATTGTATTCATATATAATCACGCTTCTTTCACAGTCATACAACTGAAGAGACAAAAAAGGGAGAAATAATGTGAGGAAGGGGGCTGCGCTGTTCTTCACAATGAATCACCACCCAATCTATTGTTCTCATACTTCTCAAATGTGTTAATGTGATGGTTAATTTCATTGTTAACTTCATTAGATTAAAGGATACTCAGATAGCTGGAAAAGATTTATTTCTGGCCATGTGTGAGATTGCTTCCACATGGCAGTAGCTTTTGAATCAATGAAAAGAGTAAAGAAATTCCATCTTCATCTAAAGGGTCTGAGCACTGTCGTATCTGCTGAGACCTAGAAGTAAAAAAAAAAAAAATTACAACTGAAAGGTAGATTCTCTCTTCCTCCATCTTCTGCAGCTGAGATACCCATCTTCACCTCACCTCCAATATCAGACCTCAGGACTGGGGAAATGGTTAGGTACATGAAGCACCTGTAGACTTGAGTACAGATACTCAGTACTCATATAAAGAGATAGGCAACTATAATCCCAGATCCAGGAAGGTAGAGATAGGTACATCCTGGGCTTGCTGGCCTGACAGTCTAGATTGCTTGACAAGCTCCAGGTCCAGTAAAATACCATGTCGCAAAAGTAGGGAGAGCAACAAACAGGAAGACACCTAATAATACCTTGTGTCAACCTCTGCCTTCCACATATATGTTTACATATGTATGTATGAAGTGTCACACTCATATCTGCACACAAACACACATAGACCTCTCCCTCTCTCTCTCTCTCTGTCTGTCT